AAGAACTTAATTTAGCGCTCAGGTGTGAAGATGCTTATGCACACAGGCATCATGAGAATCACCTCTGCTTGTACTACCACAAACTGAGAGGTGCTGATGAGGAGTTCTGTCAATAAAGGAATACTGTCTCCACTGCTGTTTCTTCAGACGTAACCCTGTCAGATTTTTTTTTTCCTTCTCACCACTTGCTGAGACTAAATTCTAGCAGAAAATTCATAATTAATTACTGATTGATAGTATTTAGACCAAATAGATCTGCATTAGATATTTTGCAGCTGGAGACAAAATATTACTTGGAAGTACTTTTTGCTGTTCTTGGGGCTTTCCTTTACAAAATTAGGTTCCTGTGTGTATTTAGCCACATACGTAGTTGACTGTAAGATTCTTTCTACAAAATAAAATGGAGAAGTCCTTGCAATCAACAGGCTGGGGCAATTTTATGATTTCTTTGTTAACTTTTGTAGTCTGGTGTCCTTACTTCTTGTTTTTAAAGTTTACCTCCTCTCCGTTGCCTTCAGTATTATTGTGAAAGTGTAATTGAGAGTGCAATATGAAATTGGTTAACAGGCTACAGTATTCTGGGTTAGTCTTGTATTACACTTTCTCCTGGAGTTCCTCTTAACATTACTCTTATTTTTTACTAGTAAACCAGTCTGCAGCTGGTTTTTCTTTTATTATTTCATGGCAAACAGAACGGGGGAGAGAAGCAATGATCTAAGGGGGATTTATTGTTATGTGTAATGCTCCAATTTGCTGTGCCTCTCCCTGCTGACAGTCCTGTAAAAGCAGCAGATTGCCTTACTGCTGTGCTTTTTGGATCTTGAAAGAAAGAAAATCTGATACCAGGGATGTTGGTTTCCTTTTCATACTGTTCAGCAGTAGGGAACATGAACATTTACTTCCCTCCTCCATTTCTACAGACCATAAGCAATTCAATGATTTATCCCCCTCCTCCGACATTTCTTGTTTAATCTGTATTACCCTTTATGGCAGTTGGACCTACAGGACATTTTTTGAACTTTGATTTCCTCTGTGGTATGCCGACTGTTGTAGTTAATACCATCACTGTCACCAGATTTACTTGATTATTTCATCTCCGTTCTGTTTCTCCTCCTAGCTCCTTTTGCTATATTTGTGCAAGTGTAGACACTTTCTTTATGAGGAGTATCTTGGAAATCCTTCGTATGGACTGTGATCTCGCAGTTATTTATCTGGTATGTGGTGATATACCACACCAAAAAAAGAAAAAAATTCCAGAACCCCACTGCAGGCCTTCGTCTTGAAGTTGCTCTTATCCTCATTCTTCCCAGGGATGAGGAAAGCAAGCGCTACATTGCTGGGTACACATGTAGTTGTCCACTTACCTTTGCTCTGAACTAGCCCCAGCAAAGACATTTGAGGTTGTGTTAGGTCTTTCGGGCTGATGCCAACCAGATTTCTCATCTGGCTGAGAAACACGTGGAAGGGGGCAGAGACACATGGCATGTGTAGCAGGTGTGCACACATTGCAGCTGTGGTACCTGTTGTGTCTGCAGAAAGCCAAAAGATGAAGTCAAGAACATATCATGATACCACTTCTGCAGCATTTGTTATAAAAAATGGAATGTGATGGAAACAGATGGAATATCTTGTATTGGATAAACTAGTTGGTAAAAAATAAAAGAGTGAAGCATTGGAGTATATGAGGTATTTGCCATCATTCTTTTCTCAAGGAAAAATAGTCATTGCTAGTAGATAATACTATGTGAAAATACTAGAATTAAGGAATGTGTCCATATGTAGCTTTTTCAAGACCATATTTGATAGACAGAATCATGAAATTTGTTGAAGACTATCTGGACCTGGGGACCATGTACATTGTTCATTTTCTCAGCTACAATGTTTCTTCTGGTTCCTGCTCTCCTTTAAAGACTTCCCAATAGTTTCAGCTTACTTTGAGTACTTTCTTCCCCCTCCCCCCGCTCCAGGCTCTATACTAGTTTGACACTATTTCTGGCATATATTGGGGATTTTGGGTAGTGTAGGGTTATGAAAGTTAAGAATGTCTACTTTAAAACTTCGTTTATGCTTGCTTTTTCGAGAAGAACCCTTAGTGCTTCTGGTAATAATTAACAGAATTCTATTCAAAACTTAGATTTCATTATTATAAACATTCAACTAATTGTTGGTTTACAAATGGATTGCAGTTAATACACAGCATCATCACCAAAAAACCTTGTGAGTACCAGGAAGTTTTTCAGCACGAAAAAATAACAAAATTATTAAAAGAAATCATCCAGATTAAAAAAAAAAAAAAGAGGGACATGGACATTCTTCACAAAACCAGTAACAGAGAAGATGCTGCACTTCTCTCACCCAGCTTATGATGTAGGGAATTCCTCTGGGGCATTGGAGGGTTCCTGCTCCTTTCACTGATTCAGAAAATCAGCATCATGTACAGGATGTTTTTTGCTTCTACTGGCATAGTGTATCTTCACATCCTTCTTCAAGCTTTTTCCGTATGGGAGAGAGGAGAAAGTATGACCATCAAATTGCTGGTAAAAACCTTCCTGAGAACCTTCAGAATGTTATGTCAGTTACTCCTTGGATTAATGCATAATAACTTTTTACCTGTGGTCTTTTGGTGTGATTACTCCATATGATGGAGCGTATAATGGATCTATCATAAAATAATAGCAAAGCATAAAAGTAACAGAATTTCAGTTAAAATCCCTAGGTAAACTTTTAAAGTATGCTTCAGAATTCTAAAAATATCAAATTTTAAGCTGACATTTTTGGTTCTAATTGTATTTTTAAAGACAGCTTTTTTTCCTCCTGTCGTACTAACAAAATCAAAATGTTGACAGTTTTGGTAGGTTGGAAACTTTAAATAACAACCAGGTTTATGTATGAATACAGGAATAATGTAACGCAAAAATTAACAATTAATAGAATTAAAGCAGTCTGTACAAAGAATGAAAAAATTATGAAGGAACTTTATGTGGATAACTCAAAATTTATATGTTTATAATTGGCAATCACAGAGTTTGTGTAGTTGTGAGAGATTAATTTAAAACACATTTTTATTTGGCTTTCCTGAAATCTCTGATATTAAGTAAATCAGAAGAAAATGTATCTTTCACATTTAATTTATATGTGTTTTGGTTATTAATATCTTAAGGAAATATGTTTTATTAATGACAAGAAAATATTTCTCTGCCAGTGAACATACTCCTAGATATTACAGCTTGCCATTTCGTGGCACGGTTCACATCACACAAGGTACATGATCACAAGCCATTTTTTGCTTTTCAGGTTTAGTATTTGGCTTATTATAACCTTGCAGCAATTCCTGGACCACATTTAGAGAACTGTAGGGCAAATTCAATGCAAGGTGAAACTTGTTCATCTGTGACAACTGCTAAAATTGCTGTATGTAAAACAGATTATCATAGATAAAAAATTATCTCAAATTTACACAACGGAAAAAGGTATGATGGCTAGAATGTAATATCCTGTTTGAGTACTATTTACATATGTGATTGCTGCATATTAACGGGATTTTGATTCAGGTAGGCTATCTGAACACTTTCCAAACAACAACAGGAGTGTAAATAAGTTTTCTAATTGCTGTTGTTGTTTTTCCATGGTGTCCTGAAATAGCAGCTAACATAAAATGTCAAAATAATGTAATTAACTAGTATAAAGAAAGCAATTTTGAAACTGAGTGATGTAATGAATTTTTAGAGTAAAATAATTTTATTCAATGATCTGCAGAGAGGCAGGTGGTCTTGATCTGGGTTCATTTTATGGCTGATTGGAGAAAGAATGTTGTTAGAGCCATTAAGCAAAGTAGTGTTTTTTGAATTTGCTAGAAGATTTCTGTATAAATACATTTTGACAATAACAATAGAGAAGTCTAATGAAAACAAGCTTGGTTTTCTCTCAGATCTTGCTAGGAATATTTCCTACATACGTTGCTATCAACTCTACCATCTGAAGGACAGCAAGCACCTTTTAGGACCAATATGCTTAGAATATATACAGGACCTTCCTGTATGAAACTCTCTCAATTCCATAACCTATCTAAAATCACAGAGTGAAATACTTTGTTGCCGTATGGCATAATAGACATTTAACTGATAAAATCCCACCTAATCAAGAAAGTTAATGGCAGATTGGACTATTCTGGTTTTATTTTTTCATGTTATAGGTCAAAATCAAATCACTTTGGTTCTGTTTGTTCTTTTTGCCTTCTTTTTTAATGTGAGATAATTAAACTTGTATGAAACCATGGCTTAGCTTATGCTGAAAGAAGTTAGTATGACTGTGTATTATAATGAGACAATGCCAGAAATTCCTGCTAGTGAACACACTTCTTCCCTGAAATTATTTATTTGCAATATAAATCATATTGCTGAGATAATATTCCAAATGCAATATGACTTCTGGACTCTTCATTTTTTTTTTTCTTTATAACTATATTCATACCAGGGGTTTCAGCAGCGCACAAATTACTTCAGCAGAACTTGGTTCTAATGTAGACCATTATGTTGTCCAGACTCTAAACTCGTTCTGGTACAGTGAATTTGTGATTTATTAGTGTTGTCTCCTGTCTACAGCGTGGACTGTTTTGCAAATGAAATAGAGTTTAATTAAGTTTAAATGTTGTATAAGTTTAGCTAAGATGTATGCATGCAATTTGGTGCTTTTTAGGAGTAGTATTGTTGCAATTTGCACTTAAATAGTCATAATGCCAAACTAAAGCCATCTCGGTATAGTATTCTGCAAATGCTGACTTCTCTATGTGATGTCACATTCTGGAATCCCTTGATACAATGAACACTAATCTTTTGCAGTTTTTTCATACCTACACCTGTCTTATCTACCATGAAAATGATGGTGTTTTTCTCTTCCTAGTTGCTTTTGTAATTTTAAAAATAATCTTTGGTTTAGAAATTTTTTAGATGGAGTCCACATTAAAAGATCATTAATACATAATGTCACTTCTCTGTTAACAGCGCCTATCAAATGGCTCCATAGACTCAAATGATGAAGCCAGTCAAGTTGTTGAACTTCAGGAACTACTGGAAAAACAAAACTATGAAATGGCACAAATGAAGGAGCGTTTGGCTGCGCTGTCTTCACGAGTGGGAGAGGTAGAGCAGGAAGCAGAAACTGCCAGAAAGGAGCTCATTAAAACAGAAGAAATGAACAGTAAATATCAGAGAGACATTAGAGAGGTAAGGAGTTCACCACATACGCCTCATATTTCTTGACTGTACTTCCTGTGATACCCACTGTTAACTGACAGAGGCCAGTGAATATGGGCAGCAAAAGTTGAGCACTGATAAAAGCCTTTTGTGTACAGGGAACACAAAATTTACATTAAGAAATAGTACTAGAAATCTCCTTATAAAATCATCTACATAAAAGTGACTATATGTGCAGCTCTGACGGGAGGAAGGCCAACTTCTTTGTGGTTTAGCATGACTAGAGTGTATTCTGGTGAGTTTGCAGCTATTTCAAGCTCTTTAGGTGTTAAATAGAGATGCTGGTCATGTAGGTAGTCTAAAGTAGTTTTTAAAACTCCTCAGCTGTTTTATAAAATGGTGTTATTTATATAATCAGTTATAATGTTTACTCATGTGTGGTAACATCATTACCCCTGTTACAATGTGCTATTCCCTTCTCTCAGTGAGTGGAAATATAATTCAGTTTTCCTTTCCTTTCCTCCTGTTGAATTTTTAGTGCTCCTTTGTACTCTCCAGGGTGGATATTCTCTTATGTGGATGTTTTCAATGTGTGGATGGTTGGCTTCTAGAATCTATTTTAGTGTTTTGAAATTGGAGTGAATATCTTTGTTACACTGCTTCCTACAATATAGGATATTTCATATGGATTTATGAGTGTGTGTGTATAGATATATGGGTTTGTATGTATATGTTTAACCTTTTTTTTCTAGTTTTCTGGAATTGTTACTTCAGAACTTCTGATGCCTGGCACAGCCTCAAAGTGTCTTCACAACTTTGTACTTTTTAAAGTATTGTAACATTTTTATCTGGTTACAAAGAATAGTTTGCACAGATATGTTTCTCCTTTCCCACCACTGCTATTTTATATCACTAGGGGTCTTTAATATCTCCACTCTCATTTACCATTTGACAAATGTTGCTGTCTCGCAGACACTTGCTGTTTCTCTTAAATACCACATTACACTACTACCATTAGTAGTTTCTGATGAACTACTTGGTGGATAGAGGACGGGCAACTAATGTCATTTACCTGGACTTCTGCAAAGCCTTCAACACGGTCCCACGCGAAAACCTTGTCTCTAAACTGGAAAGACATGGATTTGACAGATGGACCACTCGGTGGATAAGAAACTGGCTGGATGGCCGCACTCAGAGAGTGGTGGTCGATGGCTCAGTGTCTGAGTGGAGGGAGCAGTGACGAATACTGTTTAACATCTTTGTCAGTGACACGGATGTTGCCATTGAGTGCACCCTCAGCAATTTGCTGATGACACCAAGCTGTGAGGTGCGGTCGACACGCTGGAGGGAAGGGATGCCATCCAGAGGGACCTGGACAGGCTGGAGAGGTGGGCCACTGCCAACCTCATGGAGTTCAACAAGGCCAAGTGCAAGGTCCTGCACCTGGGTTGGGGAAATCCTAAGCACAAGTACAGGCTCGGTGGAGAGTGGATAGAGAGCAGCTCCGAGGAGAAGGACTTGGGGGTACTGGTTGATGAAAAACTGAACAGGAGCCGGCAGTGTGCGCTGGCAGCCCAGAAAGCCAACCGTATCCTGGGCTGTATCCAGAGAATGGTGACCAGCAGGTCGAGGGAGGGGATTCTGCCCCTCTACTTTGCTCTTGTGAGACCCCACCTGGAGTGCTGCGTCCAGCTGTGGGGCAACCAGCATGAGAAGGATATAGACCGGTTGGAACAAATCCAGAGGAGGCCAGGAAGATGAAGAGGGGGCTGGAGCACCTCTGCTCTGGGGGCA